CAAAGGGAAGGAAATGATTCTGATTTCAACCATTGCATATATTAGCTCCGACATATGAATGACCGAAAAATGTGATTGACAGATGACCATTGATATATGATTGGCCGAATAAGGTGTACAAGCTGACGTGTAATTAACTGCCCTGCATAAGGTAATGAAAAAAAAACAAACAAAGATTTTAAGACAGGATGTTTTTAAAAATAGAAACTTTCTAACTTTAGGACAATATGGTCTGATAAATAGATTTATATACATGTTTAAGCCAGAATGATTTGACCATTAACTATGACTTCCATATGACTTTAAAGGCTGTATTGTATGCTATTATTATTCGTGGTCTAAATTTGTATCAATAACAACTCAATAAAATAAATAAGACTGTTTTACCACACAGGATCAAAGTTTAAAATTACAATTTTATTTACAGAAATTGATTGATTACCCCACACATTTCAAGCAGACCACCTTTTCACACTTGTGACAAACATTTGAGCATTTTTTTTTGTGTAGCGCTGAAGCACCTGGCGCCGTTTACTTTACCTCGCAAAATCTGCTCTTCAGCGGCGGAGGGGCTGGTAACCTACGGAGGGCATGTGGTTTGCACGTCAACCTTTGTGTGATTATAGTAGACCAGGGGCTCTGGTTTGGCTTTTGGGTCGCTGAGTGTGCCGGCGGAGGTGTGGGCAGTGCTATCCAAACCTCGAACAAAAGTTTCACTATTGTCTGATGGGTCACTAATATATTTACTTTTTTCCCATGGGAGGGTAATCATCCTTGGACTCGCTGTCAGAATCTGAGCCACTTCCTACCCAGTCGTCCTCATTGGTCTCTCCCTCTGCGCCCGAATGACGATCAATATTTTTGAAGCATTTCTAAATCCTGTTTCTTGGTTAGATTTCTTCTGAAGGCCATTTCACAGCATCAGCCAAGGAGTTCAAGGTAGAATGTTGGTTGCTAGGCAACGGTACTAAATGTCAATACACTGCAGCAAGAATTTACAATGCAACTAATCGAGCGGTCAAATTAAGATTGAGGTAAAATTAACCATATTTATTTTTTTAAGTTTTTTATTTTTAAAAACTATGTGAAAATGAAGGAAATATAGAAACAGGAAAAGTCAGTTAACATGATCATGACGACATATGATTAATGTAAATAAAGTTCTTTGCCTTTAAAATCTCAGAAGCGTCAAAATGTCGGCCTTGGGAGTTGAAGAAACGTACCTTCTTAAACTTCTTCTTAATGTCTGCGTACGTCTCCAGTTTGACCTGTCTGCCCGTGTTCGGCCGGTAAACCAGGAACAGCCTCTTCTTGGTGTTCACCTCTTTCACCAGGATGGCCGTTTTCCTGTTATTTCTCATCTGGAAGTCAAACATGGATAAAAAAAAAAAAAGAAAATAAATTAGGAACCGTACCAGACTCTTGGAGAGAAGCAACAATATGGTTTGTGGTGAAAATATTTAGAATATTTAGAAAATATTTAGATTAACCTCTGTTTTTTTAAACTCTCCGTCAGCCCCAATGCCTTAACAACTTATACTCATTTGGTAAACTGAGTTTTGCCAAAGGGCACAAATGCTGGAATCTAACTCAACCAGTTGACTAATCCTTCCCATTGAGTCTAACCTTCTACAATATAACTGAGGATGATTATATCAGCATCAACTAATAAAGATCAAGCTACACTGCTCAGTATTTTTACCTCAAGAAAATATTTAGTTAGACTTTAATTATGTGTTTTTGTAATATATATATTTAACAGTAACAAAAAATAAATAAATAAATCAGCTTCACTTTATACTGCATATGCAGATTTATTATTCATGGTGAAATTGTTAAAATAAGCATAAACTTATTACTGTACTTTACAATGATATTTTGATTAATATTTGAAAAGTAATTATTAATCTAAAAAGAGATAAGTAAATGAATGCTTCTAAATAAAACAAAATTTGGAATAAAGAAAAAAATAGATAATTTGAAATCAAATTTCCAAAATGTAAAAAAAAAAAACATAGCTGCAATTATTCATACCATGAACAAATAATTTTTAATGAAAAATGTTATGTATTTATTGTTTAAGAAACAATTCTAGTTTATTTTTTTCATTTTAGTAGGTTATTCTGTCATTAAACTGCATGTTTTAGAGGCTGTGCACCGTTATTCCATTACTAAATTAGTGGAGGATTATTTTAAGAACCCATTAATCAGGATTTGTCTGATTACTCATGTCAGCCCTAATCATTTCCTGCTGTTATTTATTTCTGATGAGACAAAAAACAGCATAAAAAAAAAAAAAAACATTTTCAATGACAAATCTGTATAATTTACTCACAGGTTGAGGACCATTAATGGAGAGCGGCTGTATTTATAAAACATTTGTTGCTGTGGGTTAGCAGGTTTTAGCTCGTCTCGTTTACTGATCTAAAAGGTTTAACTATTGCTGGAATAAATGCTAAATAAAATGCTGCGAGTTCAGTTAAAACTGCTGTCATTTGTTGTGTACACGGTCCTCAAAACCACAGTGAGAAACAGGTAGAGGAGGGGGGCTTCATGATGGACTCCTAGTCAACAAGATGTCTAGACAACTTTTTTGGATTCTAGCTAAATTATGCATTTATTTTAGGATGATGGGTTTGACACAATTATTTGGAACAAGAGTGATGAATAGAAGGAAGACATGAAGAGGAATTTACAATAATAAAGATTATTATTAACCCTCTTTTCTTTTCTTAATCACATTTCAATTCATTTCTATCTCTGAATGCTTTAGTAACCAAGCAACTAAAACATCCATCGGGTATAAAGGGCAGCCTGTTTCCAACCTGCCTGATTTATTAACAACAAGGGAATTTCTTTAACAATTCATTTACATCAAATTGTGATGTCAAAGCAGAACTTTTTTCTCTTTTTTTTCCTCTTCCGAACATACGGCTTTACGATCAATTGGAAACAGTTCCACGCAAACACAAGGAACCAGTTACATCTGATAGATCTGATGAAATTATTCTAAAAATGTTTTTTTTGTTTTTAAATAAAGCATTTTAAATGCCAAGATAATCCTATTTAATGAATTTTAATGACAATTAAAGCCAAAATTAAAAAAAATAATTTAATGACTTAATGATTTTTAATGACCCGGGGAAATCCTGATAATCTTCCTGTAAAACTATGAAAAACATGAGCTGGGATGAACATTGTGGCCCTTTGTCACCATCAGCCAATTTTCTGACAATATCAGAACTAGAGTTGCAGGTCGCCAATCCATTGCAGGGCAACACAGCGATAAACAACCATTCATCCACCCACACACTCACACCTGAGGAGAATTTAGAGAATCCAATTAACCTAGCAGCCATGTTTTTGGACTGTGGGAGGAAGCCAGAGTAACCCGAGAGAACCCACGTATGCACAGGGAGAACATGCAAACTCCAATTTAGAAAGCCTCGGTCTAGGAATCGGACCCGGAGCCTTCTTGCTGCAAGGCAGCGGTGCTACCCACTGCCCCGCTGCTCAGCCCGAAACTAAAATATGAAAATATCTTTCCTCAGAAATCTGATCCAAGCTGTCCACTTTGTCCAACTTCACACACATTTGAACCAACCTCCCCTCCATAACATCCTACCTGGACGTAGAAGCCGTCGTCGGGGCCGTTCTGCTCTGCCCAGGCGTGCGTGGCTTCCTCCCAGGACATCCCTCTCTCCACGCTGACCTGTGAGGCGAAAGGCAGAAAGCAGATGTCAGCTACAGATGTTGAGATCATTACACTGGGGGGGATGCTAAAGGACTCACAGTGTGGAGTTCAACGTGTCCTGACGTGGTGTAGCTGGGGGTCAAAAACTTCCTGCAGTCAACCTTCTTCACCTTCTCATCACCAGAGCCCAGATCTAATACAAAGGAGAGCTTTTTAGGGTTTGAGATCAAACGTGGTCCGATCATCAGCAGAGACGGAAGAGGCACGGAGCAGGTTTTAGAGGTCAGCAGCTTACCCAGGATACCCATGTCGTATCTGCCGTTCTTTTTGGCTTCCTGGATCACCGCTGCCAGTGTGTCAGCGAAATACTGGAACAAGGCGTTTTGCTGCTGGACCTCCATGCCCAAAATACGATTCAGGAATTTTCCAATGTTGTTATAGTCTATGATGTAAAACATTTGATTTTAGACAGTCAATGTATAAACTGAGGAATTAGTTTGAATCTTATTCATGCCGTATAAATCACCTTTGTCCAGTGTCAGAACTCCAGATCGGTCCTCCACATTTATGAGGCCCACGCCGATCAACCCGTTCTGAATCTCTACACACCAAAAAAAAAAAAAAATCAGAGATTTGACATCTATTGAAACTGGGGAACTAAACATGAAAACTAGAGACTAGATGATGCGTCTGACTCATACCTCTAAAGAAATCCCCTCTGAAGTCTGAGGGCGGAGGCACTAACGGCGTGTCAAGCTTTACGATCGACTTCATCACAATTTCCAGAGCGTTTCTGCCGTACTACAAAGACAACATGGCGCGTGAGAATGAATGACAATAAAAATAAAAAAAGCGTGTCTTAAAGAAGTGCTGGAGAAACGTACCTTGTTGTCGAAATTGAACCTGCTTAGATCTCTAGTTTCTGTGGCGCGTCTGTCACCGTGAGTCAGAGCTCCCTGATGGAGAGAACAGGAACAGAAAAGTTTAATCATTTTCCTTCTTTTTGCAGAACCATTTTGGAACCCTTAGGTATGCCTACCAGGCTTTCAAGTCTTTTGGCAACAATAGATGCAAATCTCTGCTCTCCTGCAAGTTCCGATATGAGGAACACGTACTCTGGAGCCGTGACCTGGTTGGACCTGTGAGTGCGCCCTGCCATAAAGTCACAGTTTCAGTCAAAAGTACAGATGCGTTTCTTTAAGAGTGTAAACGAAACAAGCTTTCTGATTTCTCACCGAACTGCTGTATAGCTCTGTCTGCGCTCCACGGCAGCTCCAGCGTCATGTGGACTCTCCTCCTCTGGTTCTTCACACGCCGATCAGCCTGCAGCGAGATCCCCGAGCTGGCAGCTTCTGAGATGATGGCAATGTTCTGATACACAAGAGACAGAAATATTAGTTTTTCTTTATTCAAAACTATGCAAACTTATGGGAAGTGGTCCCAGAACTTTAATGAAATCAAGGGACAGGATTAGGGATGGGAATCGAAAACCGGTTCCAGTTTAGAACCGGTTCTGTGTGTTCCAATACCATGGCACCGTTTGGCAGCTCGCTTCACGGTTCCAGGCAGCACCAGAGCCTAGCACTGGGCAGCATGACTTACGTCACGTTTTTTTACACAAGTTACGCCCACAGCATTCAGTAAGCAAGTACGACGTGACCAGGCGTAAGTCTAGAACAGCAAAACAAAAAAAATGGCATCCCATTGGGTAAAGTGATCAAAAGTTTGGATGCGAAGTGGCAGTAACATCCGCAGGAGGAAATACATCCAACATGTAGAAACTCATGCGCATACAACATTGCATACATTTTATGTATGCCGAACGCCGTGTTTTTCATGCTTCCGGACAGAAGCTTAAGTTATGACCAGCATGGAAGGCAATTCTGGTGGTAAGTAGCTAGTTTTATATCACTGGCTGTGCTTAATGTGGTTCCTAGTTAATCAAATGCCATTTCTGGAAATAAACCAACTACCTACCTCTCTTAGGGGTATTAAACATGCTACGAAGTTGCTCCGCAGTTCAGGGAGCGGGAGAAAGGTGATGCTCGTTTATTTTAATCAGGGGGAGATAAGTTTATTTCCAAAATCGTACAGTAATGCTTTTTCATTAAACGGATGCCTTCTCCATTAGATGTAGATGACTGTGACGAGACGGGTAGCCTGGCTGCTCAGAGGCTGGCAGCTCCCGTTCACTGCCTTCTGTTTTAGCCGAGACACCATTCCTCACATACGTTACCTGGTACTGTTTTTAGCCGCGGCTGGATAAACTGTTTTCATTGAATTTTTACTTCCCCACATCTGTTTGCAACATGTTTTTTATTGGTTCTGCTGTCAGGATGGAACTAAATGGTTCCAGCTAAGCCGTTCGGTAAATGTCAAAAAATGATGAATTATTTTAACTTTTGATATAAATTACAAAAATTAAATCCTATTTACGATTTGGAGACAAATTTAAGACCTATGAAAGACTGAGTTAAGACATTTTAATACCAATTAAGGCCTTATTTTTAAACTGAAGATCTGCAGGAACCCTGAACAGCTTTAGTTTTCCTCTAAACAGATTAGAGTTTAGATTTAAGAGGATATCCAGCTGGTCCTGAATAATCACTACTGTACCTTTTCTCCATCCATAAACCTCTGTTTCTCTGTGAGGTTCAGGATTTCTACCGGGACGTCCAGCTCAGAGCGGGATTCATAGGTGATGCTGCCGTCATCGTTACTGACCACCCGACCTTTTCGACCGGTCATCTGAAGCAGAGAACATCGAGGCGATGAGGAGAAGACAGCTCAGCATAAACCATAGAGCCAGAAGGTGTAGAGCTCCAACAGCCAGTTACCTCAGCCACGTTTTCTGGCCCTCCCAGTTCGTCTATTAGCTCATCCAGGGTGTTGGGGGGTAGATCTTCAGCCAAACCCTCCAGTTGTTCCAGCAGCTGTTTCTTCATCTTCTGGGCGAGCTCCACCGAGTCCTGACTTGTTAGACAGCTTTCCTGGCTCTCTGTCTTGACTTTAGAAAAACACATTCAGGCAGAAGTTTACCTTAAGCAGACTGCTCCAAGTATCAAAGCTTCGCTCTGCACCAGGCAGCAAACTTATGGAGTGAAATTTACTCCATTATTGTTGCAAAGCAAAGAGCAACTTTTGTACATGGAAATTAGATAATCGAGTAATGAAAAATGCAAAAAAAAAAAAGTTTAAACGGTAACAAAGGCTTAAAGAGGAACTTTGCAATACTCTCAGATTGTTTTTTTCTTTTTGTTCAAATTTATTTTTACATCTTTTTTTACACTTAATTTCAAAGATAAAACAATTTCTCCTTTTATGTTTTTTTTTTTTCTGTTCAGATCCCCTTCACTTCACTCTGGGGGCGGGCTTTCCTCTGGAGTGAGGAGCAAAGACGCATTTCTATAGGTCTGCCTGGATGCTAACAGTGTTTTTATTGGTTAAGAGTGCGTGTTTTGTTGGGCTTGAAGTGAAAAAAATGTGATCTGTAAATGTAAAAAAAAAAAAAAAAACACTACATTTGGGAAAAAAATAAAATTGTGGTATAAAAGCTGAGAAACTGCTGTTAGTTTTTTAAATGCATTTAATTTTTTTGACTAAAATATGTCAGTTCTAGATTTCGTTTCCATTTACAAAATGTGTTATGCGCTTTTTACAATAATGGAACAAATATCATTCCGTACATACGTACCAGCAGCAGGTGCGGCGGGGGGGTTAACTGGGGCTGTGAAACCGGGCCTGGAGGAGCCCAGCCCAGAGGCTAACAAGGCACTTTGAATGGAGTCAGGATCAATGCTCTTCCTCCTTTTCTTCTTCTTCTCTTTCCGTTTCTTTGGCTCCTTCCTGATCAGCCATGGATCTAAAATGGAGATAATTGTTTTTTATGAGCCCACAGAATCAGATCTAACCGGATACATGTCAAGGCTTCGTGAACTCACCGTCTTCCTCGTCTTCATCTGACTCGTCTCTGAATGGATTGAAATCGTCGTCTTCATCTGCTGAGCTGACCGATTTGAAGCTGTCATCGCTGTCTTTCCCAGACTCTTTGTCCGACTCCTCAGACTCGCTCTCCTCTGAACTCGTACCGGACAGACCACCATGTTTGCGAGGCTTCTTTTTAGGCTGTTTTTTGACCTCTGACCCTGGAGAGAGAGTAGGTTAATAGTGTTCTTCAAGTAAGATCAGGTTTATCCAGCTTTGTGATTACTACCTTTCCTCTTCTTTCCCTTTTGTTCGGGCTCTGCTGTGTTTTCACTGGGGGACGGCGTCTTTTTTGCAGACAGGTCGATGCCTAGCAGGCTGAAAAGCTTCTGTCTGTCTGGAGCTGGAAAATGCTTCTCAATCAAGGACTGCAGCACACCTCTGCAATAAAATCATGTCATTATAGCCACAGTAATGTATTCCCATTCTTCAAAAAGATTCTTTTTCATTCTCACTTTGCTGTCGACACAAAGTCATTGAGCTCTCCGCCGCCCTCTTCCAAGGCCTCCAATGTTCTCGCCTCACCGGTGGACTGAAGGCCGATCACCACACACTGCAGAGAAAAGCTTTAAACTGAAAATCCTACATTGGTCATTTTACCAATATAACAGGGGCTGTTTTTGTAACAGAAAACTGAGGATTATGATTGCAGAGCCAGATGCACGTCCAGCTGATGCTCTGAAACAGGAAACATGCTTAAGTAAAAACAATGGTGGTCGTGATGTGGATGTTTGTTTCAGAAACAGATAGCCCAACTGCCAGAGAAGGAGAGAAGAAAAATCCAGTGTGTTAAGGCTTTTTTCCCCCTTTTTGTGAGGGGAATAAATAGGAAATGTTTTTAATTATCAGCATATCAGCCAAAATTCCAATATAGTGCATCCCTGCCTTTAGGGATAATCTAAAAAGAGGATGTGTTTCAACTTGTAAAAAAGATCTTGATACCTCTACTTCAGGCAAACCAACAACCCAACAAACGCAAGGAAAAGTAAAGCATACCGCATACATGCAACAGGTGGCACCAGTAGGTGTCGCACTCTCCTTAGCCTGAGCTTCTATAAAAGGGGAAGCAGGAAGGGTTGTAGCAAGGAGGTCACTTCCTGTGTCTGGGACCAGGGGTGTGGTGGATCCATGCTGTTGGCTGGCTGGGGTATGTTGGGAGGATAATTGTGTTTAAGTAAATCCTCTGCAAAAAGTTGGTGGTGATTTGGTGTTTTTTGTAAACAGGTCTGCATTATTGGTGTTCCGGCAGTAATTTTACCTGGGCGTGTGGTTGTTCAACGCCACAGGTAGGCTTTTACATTTACTGTTTTAAGTGATGTTAGGACAATTTAGCATCTGTGGGATCTGCGTGCAGATCAAGACAGAGCAGGACTCCTCACTGGGTTACAACAAGGGGGGACAACAATCTAGGAGGCTGTTACTGGATGCTGCTCCCTAAAGTTGTTCTCAAGAGAACCAGGCTTTATACAGGAATATGCAACTCTAATTTAATGCTTTTTAATGATCTTAGAAATAATTTTAATGCCATCAACAAGCACCTGTCGACAGGCAGCAGCCATGTCCCGAATTCTTCATATTCCATTTTCCAATTCTCTAGCTTCTATTACGAACATACAGCTTTATGATCAACCGGAAGCAGTTTCACGCAAATATATCGAAATATTAGCCTGATAAACCAGACTGAATGTAATTTAGTCTGTTCTCGATAAATGAGACATCATTCAACCTGTTGTTTTTCAAACCCTGTCTGTGCCTATTGGCCAATGCTCTGACCAATGAGAGCAACTGACTGTGGCGTAGTAAGCGCAACAGAAAACTGGTGGGGGACTGTAAACAAACAGCCTGTGGGTAAAATGGCGAATACGTCCTTAAACCCCGAGTCTAATCCTTCCAAAACTGTCTCCAAAGCTGAGTCAAACGAGAACTGTTCAATAATTGTTGCCATCTTCCTTGTTGTGCTTTCTCCAGCATCACGCAGCTTTGTCGTCACACCCTCAAAACCCTGCATGCTTTAAATCTAAAAATTCAAAACATCTCTACGTTGTGATTGGCCCGCCAGTTCTAGGGCCTGGGGAATTGATCGAGGCTAGACCACTCACAGCGGGTGGGGCAAGTTTACTAGGCTATCGCAATACAATAAATTTGACAAAACTGTTTTTTTTTTTTTTTTTAAACATAAATAAAGCACTTTAAATGCCAAAATAATCAAATTTAATTAATTTTAATTCCAATTATGGCCTTAATATAAAAAATTATAATTTAATGATTTTTAATGACATGCAGAAACCCTGAGAACACCACATGCTGGGACATCAGGCTAAGACAATCAAGCATGTTGGATTTCCCTGATCAGAATAATCACTCTTAACACAACACACATGGGAGTAAAACCCAGGAACTTCTGTTGAAATTTTCTTTAAATGTGTAAAATCTCCTGTTTGCAGTGGCGACAGTCTGGTGCAGGAGTTTGCCCTGCAATAGGAGAGTTCTTTGTTCGACTCCCAGCTCCCGCACCCGGTGACGCCAGTGTTTGGAAACTTCACTTCGCTTTGCTTCTCTTAGTGAAGCCCAGCACAGCTGTGGCTACAATGAGGTTTGCCTCCATCAATGTGTGAATGTGTGAGTGAATGAATGTGGTGTAAAATGCTTTGGTCGAGTCTCCTGACTTGAAAAAGCGCTTTATACAGTACAGACCAAAAGCTTGGACACACCTTCTCATTCAAAGAGTTTTCTTTATTTTCATGACTATGAAAATTGTAGATCCACACTGAAGGTATCAAAACTATAAATTAACACATGTGGAATTATATACTTAAGAAAAAAGCGTGAAACAACTGAAAATATGTCTTATATTCTAGGTTCTTCAAAGTAGCCACCTTTTGCTTTGATTACTGCTTCACTCACTCTTGGCATTCTCTTGATGAGCTTCCAGAGGCCGTCACCTGAAATGGTTTTCACCTCACAGGTGTCCCCTGAAGTCAGGTGGATACACAGCTGATAGTCCAGCTGAATAGACTGTTAGAATTTGTATTATCACAAGAAAAAAGCAGCAAAGTAAAGAAAAACGAGTGGCCATCATTACTTTAAGAATTCAAGGTCAGTTGGTCAGAAAAATTGGCAAAACTTTGAAAGTGTCCCAAAGTGCAGTCGCAAAAATCGAATCAAAAGGTGGCTACTTTGAAGAACCTAGAATATAAGATGTATTTTCAGTTGTTTCTCACTTTTTTGTTAAGTATATAATTCCACGTGTGTTAAAGGTGCTGTAGGACATCTTGGAAAAACGGTTCCAGCAAGCTATATTTTGAACCTACACAACCATGCCTCTCCCTTCAGACCCCCTGTTGCAACCACGTCTATAAAATACATAACACGCATGCTGTCTGCAGAGGGTCTGAGCAGCTGAAGCGGTGTGTTGCACGGAGCTGACAGGGAGACAGACAGCACTGGTGATGCAGAGCGCTATGGTCACTCCTCTGAAACAGTTTAACGCCCAAATTAACTTAAAATGTCAAAATCTGCCAGAAAAACATGTTCGCTTTTATTATCCTGGTGCATGCAGTTTGGATTACGTACATAAAAAAGGCCTTCCGGCCGCCGTGGCAAACCGCAAGGAGGCAACCGGGCCATAGGCTGCTATGGAATGGGATTCCTACTGACAGAGCATCGCCGGTGTGCGGGGGTCTGAGCGGCTCCGACAGAAATAATATTTGAAGGCAGGATAGTAATCTGGATGAACTGACTGCACTGACGACGTTTTCAGGTGGACTTTCTCACTTCAAAATACATTTAAACTACTTTTTGCCCACTGATCACAGCAAATATAGCTGCCATTGTTACAGGCAAAGAAAGGATAGGGTAGCTCCACCTGATGAGCATCAGACCCACTTTTTCCACCACGCAGCTAAAGCAGCAAAGATACTTCAGCCGCGCATCAGAACTAGAGGTGGGTATTGGCAAAGAAGTCATGATTCGATTCGATATCACGATTCACATGCCACGATGCGATTCTATCACGATGCATCACGATACTTGAAATATTGCGATGCATCGCGATGCATTGTGAATTTTCACTGAACACTGTAAGAAAATGATACAGGGGCGAATTTTCATAGTGTCCTACATGTTTTATTTCATATGACTCATCGCAGTATCCCACGGCCGGAAATGCTTGTGACACAAGGCAGCGGGCGTCAACACATCCGCAGCGACATCTGCTGGACTGGAAGTTGTATTACACTTGGTTTGGCTGATGTGCGCCAACCATTCATGTATTTTATTTGTTCATTTTTTGAAGTTAAGAATCGATTCTTGCCATTAAGAATCGATGCAGTAGATCACAAGAATTAGAATCGCGATGCATCGTCATGGCGATTATTTTGCACACCCCTAATCAGAACTAAACTTGTACAAGCATCAAAATTGAAGCAGGACGCGTTTTTGATGCTTTAGGTGTGAATAGGGTGAACAGATGTCCTCTTTTTCCCATACATGTCCTACTTCTCATACCTAAAAAAAAGTCCGGTGGTCCGCCCCACGCCTGCCTTACCGGGCTTAGCATACCGTCACCGGGTCTGGTTCGCTCACTCGCCCGGCCGCCGTCAGTGGCCCCAGCAGCCCCCCCCATTTACCATTTAAAAAATATTTCTGACTAAAGGAAATTATAATCTTACAACTTTGGACATAATGTCAGAAAGTTGTGCCAGATTGGCTTACATTAATGCAAACATGCTTTGTTTTATTAAATCCTCCTTGATTCAACAACCACAGCTGAATAAATAAACAAAGTATAACTTATTTTTTAGGAACAATTTTACCTTTCCATTCTGAACTTCCTCTCTGGCTAACTGGACCACCCGCCGCACTTTGGAGGCAATGCAGAGATACTTGAAAAACCTCTGATGGGCCGACCAGAACTGACCCCACATGGACTTCTTCATGCGCTGCTCTGCTTCCATCAGGTTGGCAGCCTGCTGGAACTTCTCTCGTGCGCTCACCCACTGTCACACGGAGGTAAAACAGCTCAACTTCCACAATTTGGTGTAAATGGATACAAAAACCAACCCAAATGAATCATTAACTTACCAGCCTTACAGACTTGTTGTACATGTTGATATATTTTTGAGTCAGGGACACCTCTTCGATCTTGAAGGTCACACCTGTAAAACTCAGCTGCCTGGCAATGTACATCCCTCTGAGCTTCATGTCCATAGCTACTATTTCCATGGCCCCCACACCTCTGAAAGCAAACAAAGAACTCACATGTTAATTACATTCCAAATGAGAAACCTTTCAAAATATTTATAATTAGCCAACCTACCTGCGTTCAACTGCTTGAATAAAGTTGCCAAATTCTTTAAAAGGCGTTTTATGGCCCCATATGCCCAGCCGATTCATATACGCCATGTTTCTTGGTTCAGAGGCCCCTGGAAGAAACACGGAGTGGAAAAAAAAGTCACTTTAATAGTTCATGTCTTCACAGCTTTATCAATTTCGGATGTCAGACTCTTTATTTCTGCCTACTAACCAGTAGCGCTGGCGTACACGACCCGAGCTTTGGGAAGCTTATTCTGCAGCTCCAAAACAGCCAGGCCGGTCTTTGTCGGTTTGGAAGACCCAATGGGACAAACGTTTTTAGCTTTGTGACACTCATCAAAGACAATCTACAGATACATGGTTAAAGAAAGTTAGCAGTTATTTTAATGAGTTACATTGATGGATTTCATAAATTTAATAAGTATATAATCAGTCATGATTCATAGTGCTGCACGTTGAATTATCTCAGGTAAGAATATTTTCTTCTCAGATGGTTATTTATTACCGTATTTTCATGACTATAAGGCGCATAAAACTTCTTTTTTTCCCCTTAAAAATGTGCGGTGTGCCCAATGTGTGTTACTGCGGACGTTGTTGAGACCACCATGAGAACGTTAAAGGGGGAAGTGTGGGCGTGGATTGTGTATAAAAGAACAGGTTTGTGCTTTATGCAGAACATTGTTGTCTTAACAACCCTAAAAATGGGAAAGAGACACGCCTATGAAGCACAGTTTAAACTGAAGGCTATCAGCTACGCAGAGGAATATGGAAATCGAGCAGTTGGAGAGAATTCAAGATTAATGAATTTATTTTATGAAATGATGCAATTTTTCCATCCGAACCAGGACTACAGTTGCTCAGCAACGTCCGACGGATTATAATGAAAAGCTGGCGAGCTTCCACTCCTACTGCAGCAAACATCGCCAACAAACGCATCCAGCCAAGCCACATCACCAACATGGACGAGGTGCCGCTCACTTTCGACATCCCGGTGAATCACATGGTGGAGAAGAAGGGGACCAGCACTGTAGCGATACACACAACGGGGTATGAAATGGCGTTTACTGTTGTGCTTGGCTGCCACGCAAATGGACAGAAACTGCCGCCTATGGTGATTTTTAAGTGAAAGACTTTGCCTAAAGAGACTTTTCCAGCTGGAGTCGTTATTAAGTCAAATGAAAAGGGCTGGATGGATGAGGAGATGTAGCAGAGGTATTTAAACGTAGCAGAGGACATGTACCTGTATATAAAACCCGCGCCCTATAATCCGGTGCGCCTTTTGTGTGTGTTTAATACAGTAATGGCACACATAACTGAGACTGCGCCTTTTAGTACAGTGCGCCTTATGGTCCTGAAAATACGGTAAGTATATGTATGCTTTATACTCTGCTGTATGATTTTTGTATGTTGCACTTTGAAAACTTAACATATATTAAAAAGGAGTAGCTCTACCAGCTTGATTCTGACGTTCTTTTATAAGAGAACAATTCCCACCGTATTGTTGTTTTTTTTTTTTGCCTCCAATTAGGCTGTGCAATTAAAGGGATTTTGGCTATTATTCTTTCCTTATTTAACATTTGTTATCATGAATAACCATGGCAACCATCACTTTTTTTTTTACACCAGGGAGCAACTGCTTAACATCTCTCCAGCTGAAATGATACTGCAACTACTTCTGCAGGTATCACCTGAACTGAAAAGGAGGAGCAAGAGATGCAGAACAGGAGCAAGGAGAAGAGAGAGGAGGTAAATCAAGCCGTTCCTTCCATCAATCATTATGAGTAATGTGAGATCTTAAGGAAGTTAGAGGAAATCTAAGCCCTCAAAAGGACCCAGCCAAAATATTAGCAATTGAGTAATGTGTGTTTTACTGTAACGTGGCTGCAGGTCTATATCCCTGACTCCAGCATTTCTCTGCTAGGCTTTAGAATAGAATAGAAATCCCTTTATTGTTGAAAATCTGCATGAATGTAAAAACTTATTGAGGTTGTTAGGAACAGAAATGGTTATAAAGTCTTCCAGCTGCTGGGAGGAAGGATCTGTGATAACGCTCCCTGGTGCATTTAACCTGCAGCAGTCTGTCAGTAAAGGAGCTCTCCAGTTCTGCAATGGCTTCATGCATGGGGTGAGAGATATGATCCAACAGATGTTAATATAGTTAGGATCCTTTTGTTTCTCACTTCCTTTAGTGAGTCCAGACGGCATCCAATCACAGAGCTTTCTGACCCTATCAGCAGTAAGAGATTTAAAAAGACTAAAAAAACTAAAGTAGCAGAGCCACACCAACAGAATGTTAGGAAGGATCTTCTATAGCAGTTTATATTCCCCCAGATCTGCAGAGGCCTTTGACTGTCTACTGCTATCAACATCTACAACAACTCTTTGAAAAAGAAATGTCATTTAATTTCGCTTTGGGATTAATAAAGAATTTTTAAATTTAATTGTGAAGAACGAGCGAAAGGATACAACTCCATCAAAGTCTTCTCCACACCAGTGGAGGAGCTGTTGAAATCTGGTTTTGTATTTCCCTCCTGACTGGCTCTCTCCTATCAAGGACGAGTAGGTGGCAAAGATCACCCCTTTCTTCACACTGCCGTTGTGTTTTGAAGATATTTTGCCATATTTAAACTGAAAAAGATCAAACGCAAGTCAGTCATTTCTAAGACAGCATTTCATGGATGTAGATGTGCTGCAATTTATACTATCTTACCTTGTTAAGAGAATGAACCTGGATGTTCTTGGCTCCAATATCCCTTAAGTCCCGTTCAGCGTCGTATTTTAAATCATTTGAGACACTAAACCTGAAAAATGATTAAAGAAAGACAAACAATAGAAAAAAAAAAATCAAGGCTGTTAGGAGTTTTTAAACCTTATCCAGATAAGTTAGAAATTGGTCCATGTCATTTACCAAAGGGATCTCTTTCTGCCCAGAAGATAATTCTCATAAATAATCCCAGCAATAGTCCTGCCTTTGCCCACACCAGCGCCGTCTCCAATCAAATAAGCGGCTCTGTCACCGTTGGGTAGGAATGTCTCATGTTGCTGCAACACAATCACAAAAAAAAAAAAAGCTTATTTCAAACTAGCACCGACATTTGGGAAAGGGCTGATAAACATTAAAGGTATAGGGGAGGATTTTCACAATCTTTTGGAAAGACCCGTCCTCTGTACAAAAACCAATGCAGTACCCTCTCCTGAGAGAACACCTATTAAACGCGTGCGAGAGCGTGCACTAGCCCTTTTCTCCTCATGTACGCTCTGTTTAAAAGTTGATGTTTGCATCGCTCATACAAACTTACTTCCATTGTGCTTTTAAGACTTTGATTTATCTGGTTAGTTTAAACAGTTTTATCAACAGTTTTCATTTTTTCACTGGGCGACGTTTTACCATGAGACTGATTATTAGAGAGGAAAGCGTGGTCATGTGCCAACAAGTTTCTTCCAAAGTAAAACCTTGTGAGAATGAAGCATTTGAAGGATTTCCCTGCTGAAGAGCTGTCTTAGAAAACACAACAGCCTTCAACAAAAGAGCTCTTCCCAGTTTTTAAGCTGCCTTAAAGGAAGGTGATGAGACAATCTTAGCTTAGGACCAATTAGATAAATCTGCTGTTCTAAATTGTTCTCAACTTTAGTCTTACTTATTTTACTCAATTAAAAAAATTACAATGAAAAAAAAATATTCATCACTAGAGTGAAATAATTGGTGGCTTTATTTTTGGAAGTAGGAAAATTAACTGTAAGGGTGGAGGAGGAAATATGAAAAAATGCAAAATTCTCAGGTCCCCAGATGAACAGGCGGCATCTACTCATTGGCACCATCCACATCGAGTGAAAACTAGTTTAATTGGACGAGTCACATAACATGAACACTCATTGGGGGAATTGTCTATGCCATGCTACAATGTTGGATTCAGAAAAAGATGTAGAAATGTCTGAAAGGTCGGAAACAGGCGAGAGCGTATCCTTGGCCCTATCCAGAGATGGGAAGTAATGAAGTACAAATACTTCGTTACTGTACTCAAGTAGATTTTTCTGATATTTTTACTTTACTACTTATTTTTATGGCGACTTTTTACTTCTACATTTTTACACAAATATCTGTACTTTCTACTCTTTAAAAAATTGTCTCGTTACTTTAGTTTTGAATCATTTCAATGGAGTTACCGTTATTATTTTTCACGTCATCAATACCAAATTCAGTCTAATTGGATGGGAATCTACGTTGCATTTGACGCACCACTACAAGATGAATCGACAGATTCGGCGGTATTCATTAGCAGCAAATCATTGCAGCTTGGTGGCGGTGGCGTTAGCATAGTAGCATGGACGACGAGATGATTGAAAATGAACACAACGGAGATCTAGTCCTATTGGCAGACATCCATTTAAAATGTAGGCAACGGCATGAAAAAAGTGGTTTCTACTTTTACTTTTATACTTTAAGTAATTTTACAAGCCTGTACTTTGTTACTTTTACTTGAGTAAAGAAGTTTAATCAGTACTTCCACTTTTACCAGAGTATTTTTGAACACAAATATCTTTACTTTTACTCAAGTACGGAAAGTGAGTACTTTTGCCATCTCTGGCCCTATCTCAAAGAATTTTTCGAAATAGTAAAAAAATTTAGCTTTCAGTTCATATAGTGTCATCTGGGTGTTTTTTTTTTAAAGGTTACTTATAGTTTTAGTTTTTGGAGCACATACTTTTTCACTTTGACTTGAGTAATGAGGTCTAGTTAGTTCTTCAACTTTTACCAGTGTTTTTGAACTGCAGTATCTATACTTCTACTGAAGTAACAAATGTGTTTAATTTTGACACCACTGCGTTTAAGTCTTTTTAAGGATCCGCATTATCCCTGAAACAAGCTTTGTTTTCCACACAGCCTCAACCATTGGCCCAGGTGACTACGCAATTCGGATTGTGACAAGAACTGACTAAGCATAGCAAAAGATTCTCCAATTAGTTATTTATGTAGCACAAATTCTACATTTTTTTTATGCGATCAAGTTCAAAATGAAAGCTGGTGAGTTTTTTTTTGTTGGTTTTTTTTTTAGTATGGAAAAACAATGTAAGAATAAAATCATCATTAAAAGTTGATGGAAAACCAAATTAACAACCTTACAAGGCAATACAGACAATCCAAGACAGATTTTACATTAAGAATAAAAAAAAAAAAATTGAGTGCATCTTAAATATCATAATTTTCATTTTAATAGCAAGTAGAACCAAAGTAGAGTGGGCTTTTACTGCCACCTACTGATAAGTGTATAAACTATAATCCTTATGAGGGATGAGCCCAGTGGTAATAAGTAATGAAACAAAAAAAAAAAAAAATCTGAAACCAATCTGTCTCTTTGATTAAGGCTCTTTTTAAATCTATAAAGACTGAAGGTTTGTATTTTAGGCCTCATCAACTGTGGTTGCAGGACTGGATGCTTTTGATCTAAAGGTGATATAGCAGCTAAAACCTTTTATACATTTCAGTTTGATCAATTTGAATGAATCTGAGTTTAGGTGCAGCTGTGGATTCACACGCTTCATGTAACATTTGTATTCTTCGCCTCACTCTTGTTTTTAACGCTCCGTTATGTAATGGACGCTGGGTACCTGAGCAGCATATGTGATTGCTTCCAACTGCAGCGCTGACAAGCAGCCTCGATCAATGGCTTCCTCTGGGATGGACAGTCTGTACCACACATCTGGAGGATTGACGCTGGACAGGGAGCTGGTCTCTACCACAGGATCAGGATGTCTCATGCCGATCTTTACTGCATTTCACAGGGTTTGTTTCACACAAACAGACACAAGAAGAAAACGCATCTTACTATAAAACACTATAGGACTAAAAATGAATTAAAATAAAGGTTCTCTTTATTAATAGCTGCTGAATAATCCTGCACATAATGCACACGCTACCTGGACAGGTTTGACAGAACATTTTTAATGATAATCTATTAGCTGAAAACCATTTAAGAATACCATTTATCGTCATTACCAAGCTAGAAAAATCCTCACATTTCAATGGCATGTACTCAGCATATGTCTCTGCGTGACCCAGCTCCTCTTCCTCTTCTTCCTCATGTTCATCCTCTTCCTTTAGACCTGCAACTTTCTGCAAAGAAATTGAAATATATACTCCTTTCTATACATTCGCATTTGGATATCAGAGCAGTATCCTTATAAACCTAATTAAACCTACCAAAGTATTTGAAAAGTTTTGAATTTTGGTGTCGTCTTTAATCCAGATCCTGGCTCCATCTTTACCCAACACTTCTTTCTTGATCCCATTGTTAATTTCACCTGAAAACAGCCAGTAAACACAAGAACATTAGTAATGGATCAACAAACAGAGTGATGGATCCCGTACAGAGAAATTAGTCTGTTAATCTCAGCTGGTTAAACTACAATCATCTCTCCACTAACGACCACCACTGTTCTGGAAACACGGAGGAACTAATAGTTGATTTGACATTTTTTGTCAAGAATAAAGAAAGGCTTTAAACATGTTAACTGACACCGTATTTGAGATCAAACTGAACAAATCAGAATGTTCTGATTTAAAATTGCGGCAAAATCTTCATACTTTGGTGGTCAGTGGTTAGCGAGCCGGACCCATGTACTCAGGGTTTAAAATGGAATGAGTAACTCTAATGCCTTTTAACGCTCTTACAAATTATTTTAATGCCATTAACAGGTACTCATGACTGTTTTATATATGAATAACATGGCAAAATCCTTTGTCATCTTTACAGTCAACAGGCTGCAGCCGTGGCCCGAATTCCTTGTTTTCCAGCCACTTTTGTTGAAATTTGAATTAACCCATTCTCTCGCCTTTTCTCCGCTTTGAGCTTCTTTTCCAAACACACGGCATTACAAATAACCAGAAGTAGTTCCACGCACACACACACACGGAGCTGATGATTTAAATTAAAGCATTTTAAATGGCACGGTAATCACATTTAATGAATTTCAATGCCAATTAAGACCTTAATTAAAAAAATTGTCCAATGATTTAATGACTCGCGGAAGCCCATGTAGGGGCCAATTTATGCTTCTGACACAAAGCTTCTGCAACCGTCAAATCTGTCTCTGTGCTCAAAAAAAAAAAAAATCCCAACTACGCATTGGACGGTCGCAAACTCGCGCAGACCTCAAGCGGAAATTTGGTCCTTGGTATGCCTTTCCGGACGTCTGTGTGGTCGCCCTTCTTGATTCAGTGCCGGGGCGCGCCATTTTTAAAAACCGTGGAACAACTACAATGGACATCTACGACAAAAGGTTAATCGAGGAGGTTCGGAAGTACAACCACTTGTACGATTCCTCAGACAAATGATATAAATAAATATATCCTCTTCCATGTCCAGCAACTCTAGGTCCATCTCCGTGACCGTGATATTTTGCAGTTGCGCCATTGTTGTTTTGGAAGATAAACACTCTCGACGGCACCGCCAAAGTTCTCGTGACCATCCGCCGAAGTTCTCACGAGTTCTCGAATAGACTCCCCCATGCGCTTTGGCGGGAAACTGCTGTTCGTCCCCAGAAATTAAAGACTGGCGGTGCAGAAGCATAACAGGTTTGCAACCAGGCCTAAGCGACATTTGATGTGTGCAGATGCAGAAGTATAATCTGCCCTTTAGTACTTGACGGGCCAACCCGGGTTCGAATCAGACTTGTGGTTCTTAGCCGCATGTCTCTACCCTTCTCTCATACACCCTTTTCCTGTAAGCCTACTGACTAACAAGCCACTAGTGCCAAAAAAAAAAATGCAGCAAAATATATATCTAAATAAAAATGTTTGCTCCATGTGTCTCTTGTCTCTCCTTCAAATGGTTTACCTGGACCCGTTGCTGCAGCCGTTGCTACAGGTGGGGCAATGTCTGGTGGGGGTTTGAGCTTCATCAGCTCCATCAGGCTGTTGCCCTTTAAAACTGTGGTTTTCACATTTTTGGGCCGAAGGAGATCTTTCAGCTGAATCTGCTAAAACAGAGATGAAACAAGGGTATGATCAACTTTATCAAGAAATGGAATATTCAAACAAAAAAGGGATTTAAAAGCAAACCTGATCTTTGTTAGAAGGCACTAATGTGGACACAGAGGGGGGGACACCCATGGGGGAGGGAGTTGCTGAAGTCCGCAGTCCTGAATTAGCCACATGGACCACCTTGGTGAGGGTTATGGTGTGTTTGATTGGATTGGTGACTGACTGCTTGGTAGTAGCACTCCCTAGTGATGGCAACTGATTCAGTTGATTTAGGACAAATGTGGTTGTTGATGGCTGAGGTTTGTGCTGCTTGGAAAACAAACAAACAAAAATGATCATTCTTTATTTTAAGGCTACCATAACACCTTTGTAATATTAAGTAAATTAATGAAACCCTACTCTGATTGTAACAAATGGGACTGCAGTTTGAGGCTCAGGTCGAACAACTTCCGCTGATTCCGCTCCCACCCCAACATCGAGGGCGCTGATGGAAATGGACTGAAAGAAAAACAGACATTAGAACTGCAGTTCTTACTAGGAAATCTAAGGGAAATGTTGTCTCCTAGACAATATATTGAAGATAATCTTACTTGCTGGGCTGTAGAGGGCTGTGTAACATCCTGAGAATCCACATCTAACAGCCCAATATCGTTTGGACAAATTCCACTCTCACTTAAAGCAGCAAGCAGTAAATCCTGTCCAGGATCCATCTGCGAATGACAGAAGTACAATTTTATACCAACATAATGACCAACGCTGACTGCATTGGAATAAAAAAAAAAAGTAAAATAAAAAACTATGATAGTGCACAAAGATTAACAAAGCAGCGTTTCAAGCGATTGACAAAACACGAGAGATTCACAAAGCAATTGTTTCATAGATGTGGATCGGACAAATTTTTGCCAACTGACTGATGATCAAATACTGAGCAATCTGGGTTTTCTTTATTTCCATCACAACAATAGAAATAATAAACGTCATCGTTTCCATGAATAAACCCAAAAAACAGTCTCCCAGTGCACTTTGATTTTATTACTAGAGAAGGAGCAACGTTTAGACAAAAAGAATCAAGAGGTCAGACCGATTTAGTAATAACCAGAAGCCTCATAAGAGAAAAACTCAAATGTTACTTAGAATCACTTGTTTTTAACATTTTCGGTGCCTGTGTTGTGTTAGGCATTAACAAAAACCAGCAATGAAGATTATATAGGGTTTCAGTCTTGAAAACAAAAATGCTATATAACTAGCAGTGTCCTGATGCAACTTCTTCATTTCCGATACAATGCTGAACTTTATTAATCGATTACTGAAATAACTGTCAACTAATTTAGTAATCAATGAATCGGTAAGTGGAGGGTAGAGACTAAAACATTTCTTTAGCTGACAGAGTAACCCACTTAAAGCAGCAATTATATTAAAAATTGTAAAAAAATAAATAAATAAAATGTAATATGCAAACATTTTGCATCTAAGATTAAAAAAATAAAATAAATATGCTCTATAATACAGAAGTTGGAAAGTTTTAGTTTCACCTGGATTTAATCAAGCAAAAAGTCTTCTTCGAGGAAGACTTAATTAATTGATCAAAAAAATTAAACGGATTAAGTTGCAACCTTACCAAAATTGCAGCTTTTAGAACTGACAGATGGAGATATTGACCCGATAAAATATTAGCACCAATTTTACCCGCTTTTATTAATCATTTTATACTGTAGAATAGTGCTGGGCGATATGGAAAAAATCATATATCATGATATGGACTATTTTATATCACGATAATGATATATATCGCAATATGCTCCAATTAAGTACATTTTCAGCAAATCTCTGAAAAATAAGACAAAATAATATAATTGCTTACTTTTTCAACTTTATTTTGAAGTGACATTTATAGAACTGTCACAAATTAGAAAATTAATTGTAGTGCAACAATATATATGCATAAGATGAGGTGGAAGTATGGCTACAGTATCCTTCACATTTTTTCAAATCCTACAGGTATTTAAATAAAATTACTGTGGTTCTTCTTTAGGTATTAGAAGAGGTTTGTTGTGTTTCCGTCGGGTAAGGGAACAGTCTTGTAGCATAGTTTGCAAATGTTGTCTGCTCCGTGTTGGACTTCTTAAATCCAAAAATGTAACCAAATCACAGATGTGCCCCCTCTTTTTGGTAAAGTGTCTTTATCTTGGGTTGCCTGCGTAGCTGTCTCTGTTTGTTGTGACCACGGGTTTAATACTTCAGCCTCCTGCGTCTCCAACTCTTATGAGTTAAGTAACGTAAAGCATGTCGCAAACCCGCGCGTGAGTCAAAAACCCATAAAGAAGCGTCATGTTGCAAAAAACACAGGACGGCGCTTCTTTGTGGAAAAAAAAAAAAAATCTTGTTTATCACTTATAAGCTGTGTGTAGGCTACGTGGCTACACTAATACGATTGTCGTAGTCTACCATGGGAAATAATTGCATGAATACGAGATACAATTGTGTTAGAAACGATAGAAAAGAATTAGCACGATATACACTTTTCTATCGTCCGTACGATATGTATCGTCTTATCGCCCAGCCCTACTGTAGAATGTAAAAAAAAAAGAAAGGAGAAAAAAAGGCTTGGTCAGGTTTTATGACTAAAACAGGAAACAAAGATTAATCACAAGTGGGATGAAAACAACTGACCAAAGTAATATAAACCAAACTTTTAACAGAAGCAGTGTTTTATATCAGCATGAACATATTGGAGATTTTAGATGCTACCCGAAAAAATACTTTTTTGGGCTGATTTTGGACTGGAGCATCCCTACATATAACCAATTAAAAAACAACAACAAATTGATCAAAAAGGAAGGGACACCAACCTTGATATGAATGCAGCACTTATTTAAAATACAAACTCAGAGCCCGACAGCACAACATTGTTTAAATTCTATTAAAACAAACAACTCCTGAATAAGATGTTATCATCAGTAATAATAAAGCACCATCACTACAAAACTGTTTAAATGGAAAAAAATATATACAATTTAAAAAAATGGAACAATGGTTAAAAATCTTAAAATCAATCAAATTTTTCTAGAATTTGTTGCATGTGGTGCCAAAGAGACAATAAATCAGATCTTGAAACTATTTAATAAAATGTTGACAAGCAGTTGAAGTTATGATAACATATGTATTCACTGAAAGCAGAAAGTCTAATAACCTGACATGAAAAAAGGAACCGGCTCAAAGGCTGAAATGAAAACGCGCGTTTAAAATGTAAAGAAAGCCGCGAGATACTTAATATCCCCCCCTGTAGAAATATACAGTAAGGATGACGGGCTAAATATATTTTTTATTACACTAATGTCTGATTGGTCTGAGCCACGAGTTGTTTCAAAGTGACCCAAAACAAGACACGTGTTTGCATCGCCCTGCCTTCAACTTCCTGCACCTACAGACTCAGTGGGTTATTTCTTTAACAGCTACCCTAAAAGTCCGCAAACAAACTTATTTAAAAAAAGAGAAAATCTACATAATAGGGACAGGTAACCCCCATTAAGGACATAAATCAATATACCATGGTAAACATTTCCCTTTCACTTTTGTATTAAGTGCTAAATTGGCCTGGTTTGAGAGCAGGGTGACATAGCTTTCTTATGCTAGCCTTCCAAAAGCTCAACATAAACCCTCGATTCGCTCACTCATTTACACATCCCTCTACGGGCTGCAGTGTTTTAATATAAACTATGAAACCAAGCCGTTTATCATCAAGAGGTTCGTAGATTATAAAGCACAAGAAACGAATATAGCCGTTATTGACAGTGACAGAAACCTGCGATCTTTCTCCACATGTTAAAAAAAAAGCATTTATCCCGCAGTTATAACATGTCCCGCAATAATAATAATTTAATGTTGGCAAACGTTTGGCTGCTTCGTGTTGTAAAAGAGAAAATTGTAATAAAGGTTATTGCGGCGCTGCTGAAGTTAAACTGTTGATGCATGATGTTAGCTAACTGACGCCTGCTAACGTTAGCAACCAGGATACGAGGACTAAAAGCTTGGAAATAATCAATTGTTACGCGTTTTAAGGTGAAATACGTGACAACGACTGAGAGTCTGTGAGGAATTTGTGTGTAAAAAATAAACATTAGCTTCTTAAGTTAAGGTGAACTTACATTACTTTTTTTTTTCCTAGGAGCTGCGGCTCGCGGTCAGCAGCTCTCTGAGGCTCCGTGTTTGTTTGTCCTCTCCGCTCGAGCTAACGCCATCTTTTTATCAAACGCTCCGTCGCATGCAGGTCACGTGACGCTCAGGCCTACGGCTTCGGTTTTTAGGGCGAAAGTGCTCGAAGGAGGTCGTTGAAATCGGTTCTTGGAGCGGTCGTTGGGCGTCCATCGACGACAACACCTCGATGAGAGCGAGAAATGTCGCATTTCCGAAACAGTGAACAAAACGAAAAACAAAGCACAGTCAGCGAGCTAATACTACGTCACGTGACCCGGACAAGTCTCGATAGGAAGTGACGTCAGTCAATTCTTCTTCTTCGCTCTCTTCCTTTTTTGTTCACTTATGGTTTTTTTTCTTATAAAACAAGCGTATATTTCCTATTAGTATTAAGAGCTGCTGCCCCTGGCTATACTTTACATGTATCCTGTTTGAAGAAACCAATTCTGTGCAGCCATTTTTGTCTGTAAATCTTGATTTTTTTCAATAAAAAAGGAAAAAAAAAGTTTTTTCTTACAATAATAATAAATAAAAATGTATTCTTGAAAGATTTAATTCGTGTTTGTTTTAAGTATTTTAAGATCATTTTTTTTCCAAACTTCATTGTTTCACAAAAAGAACTATGTCTTTCTTATCACAATACTGTGTAAATGACCATAAACCTGTTCTTGTTTACTGATTTTTATTACTTTATTCATTCTTTATTTATTTTTTACTATATTCTGCTTTCAAATAATCTGATTTGTCATCATGTTTGTAGGTTTATTTCAGTATCTTGTTGCCTGACTGTAACTCCAGTTGTTATTTTCAATTAAAAAACGTTTGTTGTCTTTTAGGTTATCTTTGCCTTGTACCTTTGTATTTCCCCGAGTAACTAAGATTAGAATTACTGAATGCAAAGTATTTGAGAATGGGGGAAAAAAAAAAAAAAA